CCCTACTTTCGGAAACTCCCATATTACCTGGATCCTAAGGAACCTGCCTTTTTAGGGTTCCAGAATATGATCTCTTTATCAAAGTCCTCAAAAAGGTAGGTTACTTGGGGTTAAGGTAGTAGACCCTCAATATCTACCATGGTCAACTTAGCTTAGGGTTTAGGGTTTAAGGATCTACTTACTTCCCTCTGGCTTAACAGCTGTAAACCCTAAACCCTAAACCCTAAACCCTAAACCGTGTAACTCTGAGCTCTGAAAAAGTCCTCAGAACGAACTTCGAACCTGGACGCACATTGGGGCACCTGCGACAGCCGGATCGTTATCGGGGCCCCTTTTTGGTTGTTGGTCTGCTTCAACGTCAATCTTCTCACAAGACGCAGGCAAAATCGTCGAAAACTGCAATCTGTACACCACTCTGGACAGGGGCTTTCAATAGGGCTTTGGGGCATGTTAAGTATTCTTGAACTATACACGGGAGCGCTGGGGGTTAATATTGCTACTTTTACTCCGACTTCTGTAGTATCACCGGAACTTCGAAACAAATTGGGTAGGGTTCAGGGTTTACGGCTTCGGGACTGCCAGGACCCTCTTCCCTTAGATAGGAGCATACTGTGGCCTCTGGTAGGTATTTGGGATCGAAAAGGGGTAGATCAGGTGTCTATTAAAACCGTTGCCCAAATTGTTTCGGACTAGGGCTCTATATCAAACAATACGGGAGATTGACAATTATCTCATATCGAAAACCATCGCAGGCTGACTGGACCCACTTTCGCCAACATCTCACGCCTACATCCCTGAGCTCCGACATAATCACCGTCCGTCTGCATGTTCTGATGGACGAAGCGATCTGTTCTACAGCATACTGACGCGCCGATTAGGGTTTAGGGTTTAAGGCATCTGAGGCTAAAGTAAAGCCACCCTTCGAGAGAAAGGGCAACTGCCGTCACGAGAGCCTTCGGACAAAGCAATGTGTGCATCACTCATCACACAAACCACATGTTCCTGGGACCGCTCTAAGCCAAGACTCACCTGCATGCAAGCCTTCATGATGGGAAAACGAGCCAAACAAAAAGCATGTGCAGAATCATGAAACCCCTCTACGCATCGAAGCCGATATGGGAGTTTCCGAAAATATGGGACCCTAATATAGTACCCTAAATATAGTAGGATCTATATTATAAGGACCCCAAAATAAGGTACCCCTAATTTTCGGCCACTGCAGAACATGCCCAACCCGTACATCTCAACCCCGAAGATCCCCCAAAACCGGAAGCATCACCAAAGGCCAAAACAGTTCCCCAAGCCGACCTACTCCTTCCCAAACCCTAAGACTCCAAATAGCCCAAAGTAGGTAACATTGATAACTATAGACTTTAGACCCCAAAGTAGGTACTATTTGTATACTTGGAGTCTCAGGGAAAGGGTCCAAGTATCAATATGGTATATACTTATTGGGTATTTGGGGGGTCTAAGTATATACCATAATGATACTTGGACCCTTTGGGCTTCACTAGAGCCTCCGGAGAGCAGTGAGCTTTGCCCCGCCACCAGGTCTGAATCCTCCTCCAAAAGCGTTGGGCTTTGTTTCAACCGTTGAGCCTTGGCGTTTTGAACAGAGGAGGAGAAACGACTCGTCGAATGCCTGCGCAACGCAAATTGTTGGAACAGGTTACGGCTATGGTTTAGAGTAGCAGCAGCACTGAAGACCGGGGAATTTGCAGTTTAGAGTTCACAAATTCTGGCTGAATGACCTGCGACGGATCTGCATGACAAAACGACCGAGACAGCTTTCAACCGTACCCCAAACCCTAAATCTCTGAATGATAAACCCTAAACCCTCAATTATAAACCCCTAAACTCTAAGGCCCTAAACCCTACATCCCCTAAAAACCCGTAACTTCCCTCGACTCTCAGTCCCCTATAACCGTCCCTAAAATCTCTGGACCCCTGCCGTCCACCTGGCTGAGCTTCGTTCCATGGCGCGGAGAGCTCCGAAGGTTCTTCTCTTCAGCGCCTCAACAGACGATGACGACCCTGGTGGTGATGATGACGATGGTAAAGATGATGATGGAGATGAAGCAGAAGATGATGATGGTGCTGGCGAAGATGAGGCTGATGATGGTGACGATGATGGTGGTCATGATGACGATGGCTATGTATGATGATCATGACAAACTGTTATGATGATCTTGATGAACTGGCGGTGACGTGGATGATGATCCTGATTGCGTTCGTGACGATCATATTGACGGATTGGCTTCTGTAAAATGCTGCAATCATGTGCAATGCCTTTGCTATGATACGGATTAATTACACCAAAGGGTCGAAATAACGGTATTGTTTACACGCTAGGGGCCCAAACAACTACAAAGTACCTACTGTATGGGTACAGGGACCCCTAAGCCCTAAACTTCATACAAACAACCTGATAGAACCCTTATGGTACCCCTAAAGGAACTCTTAAGGTGGATGGACATCTTGAGCTACTTGTGAAAGCTTCCTCAAAGCTCACTCTCATGTGATGGGACCCAGCATGAACCCAGACCTTCCAAAATCCCTTAATTCAGGAATACGCCTTAACTCATCTTAGAGTGATATTAGGGATCCTACTCGAATCTGCGGTATATTCTTGATAATTAAGGGATTTGGGAAGGTCTGGGAATCAAGCTCAAGAAATCCAGCTGGGACAACTTCAGACTTCAGATGCTCAGCACTTGTGGGCCTTGTCGCTGCACGCCTCCAGCAGAAAGTCCAGAAGAAACCTGGCAGATCGTTCTCCCTAGGGCTCCACTTAATGCAGGAAGCTGACTAAGAAACCCTGGCCCTATAACACCCAAACAGTATGATTCATATAGGGAACCCTAGTAAAGGCCCAAGGTTTCTTAATCAGGTTCCTACATTACCTAGATAATTAGTAGGTTATACCCAGCAACCTACTTACGTGGCAACTAGAGCCCTAGGACCCTAGATTCTTTTTCTAAGGGCGAGAACGGCGACTCGTTTGGTGAGTGGGGGTCACTTGTCGCACAGGACTTGAGAGGTTGAGGGGCTGCGGTAGCTGAGAAGGTTTGTAAGGGCTTAGGGGCTTATATAATTGGGGGGTTTAGGGTTCAGAGGGTCAGTGGCCGAACAATCCCGTGACCTCCGTTTTCATTAAGTTTTATGGCTAAGACCTTCGTTCGGGTCTGCGTAAGATGGCTGCAACCTATGTCCTTGAGCCTGCTTGCCAAGCATCTAGAATTAAGGCTCAAGGTTTAAGGTTTAGGGTTTAGAAAGTTATGTCTTCCCTAAGCCGCGGGTACATCCAGCCTCCGAATATGCGATACCTATGGAGGATCCTCCAAGACTATAACCCCCAAGAGAAGGGAACTGAAAAAAAGGAAATGACCATAATTACAGGATCATGGGCCTTAGTAACTAGGGTTATAAAGAGGGAACCGACCATACTTTCAGGATCTTGCGACTTAGTAACTCGGGTTGTAAATACGGTAATTATATGCTTGTAGTGATAACACCAAGACTATTTGGTAACCCCAAAAGGGTAACTGACCATACTTCAAGGATCATGGGACTTAGTAATTAGGTGCTCATAATTACCTATAGCCCCAATTAGGGTACTTATAACCTTACTTACTAAGTCCCCTGATCCTCCAAGTAGAACCTAAAGCCCAGACCCAACGCCCCTAAAAAGCCCTGAGCCCCCAGAAAAAACTAACAAAACCGAAATGGGCAGGCAGACGCTGAATCTTCCAGCTGCCAAGCCTCGCCAACTTTTCCTGGCAGAAGGCTGAACGATCTAGAAGGGTTATACAACGGTTTAGGGGTTAAGGGTTTAGCGGTCTAGTGCTTCGGGGTTTACGGGCTAAGGGTTTAGGGTTTAAGGGTTTCGGGGTTAAGGGTTTAGGGTCTAGGGGCTCAGGTCTATGGCTTAGGATCCCTAAACCCTGAACACTTTTGGTGCTCAACCTACACTCAGACCCTCATCTACCCGCCCCTAAGTACCTACAATGTCTGAATTTTAGCCAGACTGCCCAGAGACTCCAGAACCCAGCAGAACCCAGCAATTAAGAAAGATACCTTAAATGATGTTAGGAATCCTATGATATCTTAAGGCACATTCCTTAATTAAGGGGTTTTGGAGTCTCTGGGTGGGAGACCCACTCGGACGACGTGAGAGCAGCCAAATCTGTGACGGGCGTCGGGTGTTTAGGGTCTACCCAAAGGCCCCAAAGTAGTTCCTTTTTGGGGTTCGTATATAGAATCCTATAAGGTAATCCCAAAAAGGAACTACTAGGGGGTGTCTGGGTAGAAAGGGCTTGGGGTTTAGGGTTTGAGGCTTGGGGTTTAGGGTTTATACGGATTAGGGTTAGTGCTTAGGGTGCATGGGGTTTAGGGCTTGACGTTTGGGGTTTAGGGTTTGCAAAGTTTACATTGCGTTTAGAGCTTAGGGCTTGTTTGGTGTTTCCGGTTTCAGGCTTGCGGCAGGCAAATGCAAGGTTCAGCTGCAGCAAGCTGAAAGTCGCTGCCGAACATCGGACGAGTCCAACTGCGAAAGGTTGGGCCATTCAACACCGTCCCACCCAGAGATCCCAGTACCTCTTAATTAGGGAATATACCTTAGATCATAACACTAAGGCCTCCATAAATTCAGGTATATTCCTTAAGTAAGGGGTGATCTGCGCTGTGAACAATACACCAGAAGAACCTACAAGACGACGAAGAAGCAAGAGAACCCATGATCGCGGTCACCGCTGAATGAGACGAAGGCAATAAGGGTACCTTTAAGGGGTTCCTTTAAGGGATCTATAGGGTTTAGGGTTTAGGGTTGATAGAAATCCTGCATTACCCATAATAAGGAATATACCCTCACTCCCATGGTTTAGGGTCCTTAAGGTAATGCAGGATTTATGTCATCAACTGTACTAGGGCTCAAAGCAGGGATGGAATGAAGAAGGAGGGTGCGAGGATGAGTGTCGGACCACTTTTTTCTCCGCGGTCTTTCACCCCACAACCTCAGTCGTTGGCAGCAGAGTGAGTGGCGCTTCGCGTGTTGTTGGTGCCTGGAGCAGTTTGCAAGATAATAGCTCTGAATGCAACAAGTCGGCTTCCTCAGGGTTCCTAACTATTTATCGAAAATCCCCCAAAGCCCTCGTCTAATCGCCCTTATATTGACATTCGAGAGCCTCTGGTAGGTCGCTGTTGAAACTTCGATGGACTTTGAAGTAAGGGGATGAGATGGGACTTTGGGGGACTTTTCAGTGTAGGCATTTAGGGGCCCCCACCCTGTAATAGTGGTATAATAGGAACATAATAGGGCCCTAATATAAGTCACTGTTCCCTAAACCCTAAACCCTAAACCCTAAACCCTAAACCCTAAACCCACAGGGTGGGGGGCCCCTTTTAAAGTGTAGGCATTTAGGGGCCTGCAGGGTCTCCACCGTCCTGGCTTCCTGCACGTGTCGCAGAAATCGCAGGGTTTCGATGGTGTCCTGTCTCAGGGGTTTAGGACTTTAAGGGTTTAGGGGTTTGGGGATTCAGGGTTTAGGGATGTATAGGGTTTAAGGGATTTAGGGATTTAGGGCTCAGGGTTCGCACGCTGCTCGAACTCCCAAGTTTAGGGTTTAATTAGGGTTTGGGAATTTAGGGGAACATGAATGAGCCTTGTCATAAAGCCCTATGAACTTAAAAGGTGTGCTTGTTTGGTTGTCTTGCACCCAATGCTTGGTATTGCTGTCGGATGGGACTACAACCGGCGACTGAACCGAAATTCCAAGGTTTCACAAGCATTGTCTCGCGCGCACTTAGAACCAAAGCACAAGCTCAACTTTAAATATTCCTGTTCACTGCGCGGGACTTCGGGATCTAGGATTGTAGGAGCCAGAATACTGCCTGGAATAGAGGTTCTGGACACTGCGGTATAGCTATAGAGCTACATGCAGGGACAATAAGGGAAGCCCAACTCCTGTACTTGTCATAAGGATCCCAATGGGACTAGTAAGAGCAATGCGTATTAGAAGACCCTAATATTCGGGTTGTCAAAGCAACCCCTGCCCTGCCCCACTTGGAGAAACATGAGACTTAGTAAGCAAGGCTTTAGGATTTGTATAAGGGTTCAAAGGGTGAGAGTGAGACGGGTTTAGGGTTTGGTGAGAAGGGTTCTATGAGGGCCTTGAGGAGAATTATATGGCAAACAGGGCTCTGGGCTTTGTAACGCTTTCTATGAAGGAGCGTTTGATACAGCTTGCAGGGGGGCTTGTACAGTAAGTAAGGCTAAGTATGTCAACTGGACTCATGAAGTGATATAAGTAACTGTGAATTCACTTACCTCGTTTCTGGCCCTGGCTGCTAAGTCCCATGATCGTTTGAGCACGTCGTCAAGATGGCATATTGCACGAATAGCTTGACTGAGCAACAAGTCTCAAGAAAAAGCTTCTGTGGCTCGAAGCGTCAGTACTCCTTAACTTTTGAGCTGGATCCCACCATGGGTCGTGTTGACCAAACAGTTGCAACACAGCGACCCAGCCTCTGCATCCATGGCAGAACTTGAGCACGTACCGATGAAGACGACATGTGCTCCATTTCGCATTACAGTGTACCTCGGGGAAGTCGCAATCTTCGACCCACACATCCAGAGCTTCAAGTCAACAAGACCTGCAAAGCCTCTATCATAGGGGGCTTGGGGGGGGACCCCACAAGGGGTACCCCAAATTGAACGCCCAATTGAGGAAACAATAACGCTCAATAAGTCCTTATTGTTCACTATTCTTTCCTATTGAGGGGCGCCAGCTGTTGAGCACTATTGTTGCTTATTGTTGGGTGACTTCTTTCCGCTATTGAGCGCTATTGTTGCTTGTTGAGGGCTGCGGCTGTTGAGCACTATTGCTGCTTATTGTTGGCGACATCTTTTCGGTATTGATTGCTGGTTTTGCTTATTGAGAGCAGCAGCTGTTCAGTATGCTTTTGGCCTGTTGAGGGTGTGATGTTGACTCGTATGAAGAACACTCTTCCGTGGCTGGTGCAAGAAGCAGCGTCACATTCCGGAGTTCCGTCGCATTCTAGGTTCCAGGGCGAGCTGCAGTGTCCGTACTAGCTCAGTCACAAGCTTGCAGTGTGCCAGGTGATCTTTGTGCGCTGTTCAGGTACATCATGCGATTCATTTAGGATTAGGGAGTACTGCCAAAACACCATTTAGGAAGCCGCCCGTGTCATGTGAGAGTCAGATTTCCAAGACGAGTTGCAATTCCGTGCTAGCTCAATCACAAACTACATGTGAGCTTTGTGCATTTTTCCTGCACATCATGCGATTCATCTAGGGAGTAATAGGGAATAGGGCCTAAACAGGTGCTCTTTCCCATGGGCTTGTGCAGCTTCAGTAACATGAGTGCCGCCTTGAAGAACAGCGCTCATTAAGCTTCAATAGGCACAACGCACGACGCTCAATAGGCTTCAATAGGCACTCTGTAAAATACCGCTGTGCCGCTTCAATAGTATTTCGGTTTTCCTGAAACCAAGACCACCAATAAGCTTCAATAGGCACTCTTTAAGATACCGCTTCGCCGCTTCAATAATATTTCGGTTTTCCTGAAACCAAGACCACCAATAAGCTTCAATAGGCTTCAACAGCAACTTTTTAAGCGCTAAAAAGGCTTATTGAAGCAAATTGAAGGCTTCAAAACGGCTCTTTAAGGAAAGGTGTGCATATTTCATGGAGCGTCTTCACTTTTCGGCTCTGCTATTGAGGCTTAATGTTGTTTTCAATTTGGGGTCCCCCTTGTGGGGTCCCCCCCCAAACCCTCTATGACTCTAGTCCGGAAGTGCCAAACCAACAAGCTGAATGCTGCGCTCGTATGTTGAGAAACCACGTGCTGCAACCTGCGCGTGACATCTTGGATGCAGGTCTACGGGCCAAAGAAGAGAACGACGTCGAACCCCCCTGAGTCCCTAAGGCACCGAGCCCGTCTAGAGAACCACACAAGTTGGCCTAAGCAGCTTGAGCAAGGTACGGGGATATGTCACGTTAGATTTTTGACATTGGCTCCTCAATGCGACTCCATACACGGATCTCATGCAACAGATCTGCATAACTTACCGTCATTCGGAGCCTGAACAGGTAGGAGGTAATTACTTTAATTACATTGGAGCAAGCCCGAACATTACACATGCATGTTTCATAACCTTCAAAAAAAGCCCCGCGCGGTGTAATGAGCGGAGCAGAGATGCAGCAGCCGTGTGTAGCAGGAATCTCGCCAAGGGATAACGCGCTTTCCTTGCGAGAGGCCGAATACCCACAACGCTAAGGCAAGATCCTTTGTTTGGTTTGAACCTGTCTATTGAGGATGCCACAGCGAGACTGAACAAAGCACAACTCACCGTAAACCCTAAACACTCAACCCAATGTTTCTAAAACGCATTAGCCGTGCACCTTGAACCTGCTGCTGGCTTGCCTTGACCCCCAGCTTGAAGGATCAGGGGACATAGTATGTTAGGTTATAAGTACCTTACCCCAAGGGTCCTAAGCGCCTATATAGTAGAATGTAGGGTTTCTATAGATTCGATAGTAGTGGTTATTATGGTTTGGGGAAGCATCCCCCCATGTCGGTACTATAAGGACTCTTCGCGCTGATTCGGGAGCAGCTCGGAGCTAGGATCCTGGTCTACGAAGTCGCAACGTGCGGCCCGTAATAATTAGAACAGGGATTCGGCATGGGGTTGGTTCCAGTACAAAGACATACATTGGGACTAAGAAATGGGATATGTATCTATATATATATATATATATATATATATATATATATATATATATATATATATATATATATATATACATATATATATATATATATACATACATACACATATACATATATACATATATATATATATATATATATATACAGAATATATTCCGGCCGCTGGAAGGAACTTGTGGCTTGGGGGTTCCGCAGTTTGGGATCGATTATACCTGGGCTCCGATTTGCAGCACCTTGGTTTCCGGAAACTTCGGGGGAACAACCCCTGAATCTGAAATAAGCAACGAAGGTAGCCAAGAGCTGGGTACGGCCCCCATACAGTAACAGTCTATAATAGGGCTATTATTAAGGGCCTTATATATCTATATTATGGATATTATCCAACTGTTACTGAGTGGGGGCCGTACCCAAGCCAGGAGCAACATTAAAACTTTCAGTCTCCAGGTAGAGGCCGAGACTGACTAAACCCCAGGCCCTAAATCCTAAACCGAACACTAAAACATTCAAGTGCGGACGAAGCTGCTATGTCTGTATTGGGGTGTCAGCGCGGAGAAAACCGAGGACACTGCGCTCAGGCTCATCATCTGCGCCAGGGATTCTTCAAGGATTTGTATGAACACAGCTGAACTGTGGAGAGTTCCAGGAAATGATAGGTAGGCAGTCTCTGGACATCTCGAGTCTGGTTCGCGTTTCGTTCCAAGTACCAATCAATGTAGCACATATTCTGGCCCTAAACTCAAGCCTAAATAATTACCCGAAGTCCCTCAATTTCTCGAGTGATATGCGACGATCGTCATAGCGTACTGTACAAGTGGAGAACACACAAGATAGACGTTGAAAAATCCGCAGGCACGCAACATCCTGAACCGAAAGACACAAAATACACCATCACTGAAGTGAATGAACCTTACCGGCACTCACCCGTGACCCCACGAGAAGAAGTGCTTCTAATCATTAAGGCCCCCTGAGCCCTAAACTGGGCTCTTTCCAGTGTTTTCTCTGCACTCATCCTCCCTTGAGCCATACTTGGAGGATCAGGGGACTTAGTAAATAAGGTTATAAGTACCCTAAATGGGGCTATAAGTAATTGTAAATATGGTTACCTTAATTATGACCCCAGTTACTAAGTCCCACGATCCTTTAAGTAGCCCGCGCCGCCTGGATGCTCACCCCCTTGGCTGAAGAGCCGGGAGACAGGGCAAGTGACTTAGGTTTAGGGTTATTAAAGGGCTCGGATCTAGAAGGTTCCTTAAAGGGATCTATGGGGTTTAGGGTTTAGGATGGTTTACTTGGAGGGGCACGGGACCTAGTAAGTAGGTTATAAGTAGAGTTATAAGTACGCTAAATGGAGTTACCTCAATTATAACCCTACTTATAATCTACTTACTACGTCCCCTGCCCGTCCAAGCAAACCATCCTAAACCCTAAAGCCCTAAACCCCGAAGCCTAAACCGCTAAACCCTGTCGAGCATAGTATGGCGATGCTTGTGATACTAACCCCAAACCCTAAGCCCTTAACGAATGGGACCTTTAGCGCCGTAAGGGGAAAAGAGTTGAGCCTTCTTAGCTTGTACGGAGGCTGCGCCGACTAATGCAGATAAACTGGTCTCGCGATGTCGTCCCCAATCAGCCCCTCATAGACCCCCCCCAAAAGTAGGGAAAATAATGACCCAAAACCCATCAAAGGCTAGTATTCTACATACTTTTGGGGGTCCAGGTCAAGCCTGACGCCACTGAAGTGCAGGACTGAAGTTGCAACCATGATGCTCGGGCCCAAAACCCTAATCTCTGAACCAAAAACTCCAAAATGGCTAAAGCCTACTCTTGAAGCATTAAGAAGCGTTGCTGCGGATATGCAGATCCCCAACATCAAGGGTTCATCCGGCAAAAAGGTTGCAATTGATGTGACTCCCTGCCCACAGCTGTATGAGTGCAACTTGTATATATATATATATATAGATATAGATATAGATACAGATATATAATATGGAAATATCATAGTCGTGTGTGTGTACGTACATGTACGTTCGGAGTACCGTCTGCAACTCGCTTTTTCTTTGTTGCGCCTTCGAATGTGGTTCCTCACGCACTATTGTGTTTGCATAGATAGCATGCACAAACTCCCTATATTCCCAGACAACCCAATCCCCCTTAATTAAGGAATATACCCTAATTCATAATTAGAGGGCTTACATCATGAGATTGGTGAATGTAGAGATCCCAATACCCCTTAACTGAGGAATATCCCTTGAAGCATAATATTAACTTAATATTATGATTCAAGGTATATTCCTCAGTTAAGGGGTAGTGGGATCTCTGGGTTCACCAATCTCATGAGGACGAGCCGAAGGGCGTCCGGCTTGCGTGTCGGTCTCGAAGTGCTAGGCAGGCAGACAAACCTCTTCGTCAGGAGATTGTCTCATGTTTTCTGAAAATTTGGGGGGGGTACTTTATCTTGGGGTCCTTATAATGAGGATCCTACTATTTAGGGTACTATATTAGAGTCCCCTATTTTCGTGTGTTATAGGGTTTACAGTTTAGGGCTTAGGGTTTATGGGTTTAGGGTTACCTTTGACCTCGGAAACTATACATTCTTCGGAGTCCTCATCAGTGGTTCCTGACAAATGTCTCGATGCAGGTTGGTGTTGGTGCTGGGTTGAGGTAACGACACTAGCTTCTTCTCTTCCTGCTGCATCTGTTGCGAAGTGAATATATAGAGCAAGCCCCGACAAACCCCGAAACCGAGAGCCCTAAACCCAGATCGTTTTGGCAACGATTGGAACTTGGAGGATCAAGGGACTTAGTAGGCAGGGTTATAAGTACCTTAAGCTGTGCTATACGTAATCAACAGTATAGATAACCTACTTATAGCCTGGTTACTAAGTCCCATGAACTTTCAAGCAGCCGAAAACCCTTTGTAGAACCCTTATAGACCCCTTTCAGGAAACCTTTAAGCTACTAAGTCCCATGAGTATTTAAGTAGCCTAAACCCGTCTTGTAGAACCCTTATAGATCCCATGCAGAAACCCTTCAAGTTACTAAGTCCTGTGATTTTCTAAGTATTTAGGTGCAAGGTTTGAGCCCAGGTGAGAGTCGACTGGTGACTGCCGGCCTGCTACGGTTGATGGTATAAAGCCTGCATTACCCATAATCAGGAATATACCATCATTCCCATAGTTTAGGGTCAATAGGGTAATGGAGGATTTATATCATCAACCGTAGGACCCTTTGGGAAATGAGAATTATGGTCTATTCCTTATGATGGGTAATGCAGGATTTATACCATCAACCGTAGCATGAGTTTGTGTTTTTTTAGGGCCCCTTTTCGTCTGCACGCAGCGAAAGCCTCATGAAGGCGAGCTCCCTACACTCCACTACTATGAGGTTTAGGGTTTAGGGATGAAATTCGGGCTTCGTTGGTACACTCCTGACTCCTGAGCATAAGCATGGGGTGAGACTCTGAGTGGTTACAACTTGTAGGGCTGTTGTGTCTAATGGTTTTGGTAGTATGAAAATCAAAGAGAAAAATGCACCCAAAAGCCCTACGCCAATGCTTGAGGGCATAGCATTGCTTACAGGCTATGCAAGGGTACAATATTACCAAGTATGCAGACCATTATGTTGCGTTTCCAAGTAGCTGTAGCACCGCCCGCTTCAGCTCCCTTTCGGAGCCATCGATGACGTCCACACAGATGTTGAACCTAACACAAGGCTTGGTTCATGTCATGGCGCGGACCTTTGCTTCACCCATCGTAGCGGAGGTCTACATGGGAACCAACAGGATTTCCTGACCTAAAGGTTACTTAAACTACTAAGATCCGGTTTGAGGCTTTGGGGTTTTAGCATAGTTTAGGGCTTGGGGTTTGAGGGTTTAGGTGTTAGGGTCTACGAGTTAGCTTGGGGGCTTGGCAGAATCGCAAACCCAGCAGCAAATTCCCGAATGCTCACATTCTAAATGAACTTTTGGACAAGCATCTGCAATAACTGAGCTGGAGAAACGGATCCTAACAATATCATGACTTCAAGGTCAGTCTCGAATCGAATCTGTCAGGCCTCATGAAACAGGCCAAAAGTCATATGCTGCTCAATGAGATCGCCGTTCCGCAAAGCCACACATGGGTAGTTGTCAAAATTATGGCCCCTTTTAGGGGACCCTAAATATTAGGTGCCGTATTATAATAAGGACCCAAAACGGGACCATAATTTTGACAACCCCCCCACATTTCTTGGCAGCCCGGTGACAGGATAGTACTCCTCGACTGGCCGCCCTGTGGCCGTCCTTTGAATTTAGGGCTCTGGAGTTTTGGATTCAGCCTTTAGCCCAGCGTTTCGTGTGCTCAAAGCTGAAAGCTACGGGTGTTCCGGTTTAGGGTTTAGGGCAGTTTAAGGGTATCGGCTTTGACAGACTTGATCTACGAACTCATGTTGCCTTGCATTCAGCACGGTGCTTATCCTCATCACTAAGACCGATCAGAGTGACATAGTGACCGCTTATGCACAAGCAGTACAAGGCTGAAGGGTGCTGCCTACTCTCCGTGGCGTTGCCAACTCAGCAACACGAGGTTGCAGACAAGAACATCCAAGCGTAAACCGCCATAAACCCAGGTTTCGCTTGAAGTGCTGACATTGCCGAAACTAGGTGTGCCCTGAGAATATCCTTAATAAAATTACCAGTAACTCAAGGATTTTGAGCCCTGAAAATATCCTCAATACAATTACCAGTAACTGCCCTGGACCCCACACCTCCAAGCCGAAATCCCGCACCATACGCGGTTACGTATTTAACTGTTTTGACTGAATCTCAAGCCCTGAACCCCAAACCCTACAAACAAATTAAACCCTAAACCCTAGGCCCTAAACCCTAAAGCCCTAAATGCCCTGAAACCCAGCACACGAAGTCTCTACCCGGGCTCCTGTAGCGAGCTGTTCCCGCTGTTTCAGGCCATGGGCCAAGTAGGCTCTCATCCTGGATGTGCGGTTTAAGGCTTAGGGCTTACGATATTGGGTTTAGGGTTTAGGGTTTTAGGGTTTTGGGGCTTTAGGGTTTTAGGGTTTTAGGGCTTTGGGTTTAGGGCTTAGGGTTTACAGTTTGTGGCGAATTCGGGACTCTTTGGAATTGAATGTAAAAGGCTTCACAGGAGTTTAGTATAGGAGCCTGAATAATGAGAGCAAGACTTTGAAGGTTCATGGTCGTCATAACTGAACAGCACCTAGAAAGGGCATGCTGTAATGCTTTATGCTGCAGGGTCGTGGGCTTGACGGTGCACACGCTGTGCGAGTTGCGAGTTCGGGGCTTCCAGATCCATCTTCTCGCAAAACCGAAACCTCGCTTTAGGGTTTAGGGCCTTTCGGGGAACCTCAAAAAGGAACTACAAGGGAGACCATAGGTAGGGTTTAGGGTTTGGGGGAACCTCGCTGGTGTACACCTGCATGGAGGCTTTGGCGCCCAGGGAGGGGAGCCATGGGAGTTACTCTTAGCTCTCTTGGAGGACTTTCTTCTGCTCGCTGTATAATTAGTAGTATAATAAGATGAAATGACCCATATACGCCACCCAAAGTTCTATTCTAACTATAGCCAAAGAGCTCGTCAGCGGAGTGCGCTGCACGCCGCGGCACCTGGTGGAGGCGTCCAGTTCTCACCAGCAGCCCGAAAAAGCCAAACCCAGAGATCCGAATACCCTTGAATTAAGGAATATACCTTAAATCGAAATATTAAGGCCTCTATAAATTAAGGTAATATTAATAGTAATAATAATAATAGTAGTAGTAGTAGCAGTAGTAGTAGGTATATTCCTGAATGAAGGGGTATTGGGTTCTCTGGGAACTTTGAACCGGGGGAGCCCCTGCGCTTTCTGCGGCCAGCCAAACCCCGCCACTGGATTCCTTAAAGGGATCTATAGGGGTTCCTTAAAGGGATCTATAGGGGTTCCTTAAAGGGATCTATAGGGTTTAGGGTTTAGGGTCTACTTAAAGGATCATGGGACCTAGTAACTAGGGTTATAAGTAAGGTAACTATACTTATAATTATTTATAACCCCAATTAAGGGACTTATAACCTTACCTACTAAGTCCCCTGATCCTCCAAGTAATCTAGCTTGCCACAGGACAGGCCCTGTAGGGATTCATAACAAATAAACCAAATAAACGGTATTCCTTATTCCGCTGACTCAAACTATAATTCAAAGGGGAAAAGGAGGGACCCTTAATGGGGACCCCTAGCCTATAATGGGCTATAGAATGGGTATATAATAGCTATATTAAGGGTATATACCTAGGGGTCCTTATTAAGGGTCCCTCCTTTTACCCTTGGAATAATGACAAGAACCCAGACAACAAAAAGAAAAGATCGGCTTCCACAATCCTCAACCTTTAGCATAGGATTCATTTACATGGCTCTTATAAAGGCCCTAGAAGGGTTACTGCACGGGCTTGCTATCTGGAGGTGCCTGAATCAGTAGAAGACGGTTTTGAGATACATTAGACGGTCTATCTTCGTTAGGGACTGCAGCGGGGTACTACTACTACTAATTTGTCCGACCCTTTGTTGCCATGAAAAATTTTTGAGCATCTGTATGCAGGCACGAAAAGTCAGAGTAAACATTTTCAGCAAAATAGCAGCCAGTCTTAAGGAACCATAGACAATGACCTCTAGACTCAATGCCATGATTAGGCCTCTTTGCATACGCTTAAGCCCTTCGATTTGTCTGGCGCATGTTGACCAACTAGGATGCCCCGTAACCTCGGAAAAAACGGGATTCCCGTTTTGGTATTGGGTACCTTTGTAACCTGGAGAGGCAGGGGACCTAGTAAGTCGTTTATAAGTTTGGTTGTAATCGGGGTAACTCCATTAGGGTACTTTTTACTCTACTTCTCACGTACTTACTAAGTCCCCTGCCTCTCCAAGAAGGAACCGAACAACCCCAGAAAGCTTGAAAAGCAAACAAGCTTGGACTGAGACACCTAGCCCAGCCACAGCCGTGGGGACGGTAGCAAGCGGCGGAGCATGCTCTCAACAGGACCGCTGTTGTCACGACACTAAACCCGATCTCCAAATTTCTGCAGGTCCAGCCGCCAGGTGGGAGCAACCCCGTTTGCGGGTCGTAGGCAAGCGCACAGCAGGTTTGGGTGGTTTGGTGGGTGGAAACAACGACGCAAGCTTCCTGAGGATCAGGCTTTAACATCTGATTGCCATAGTACGATGCACTCGATGCGACACTGTCGCCTGGTACTTTCGCCTATGCGATGTCCAAGGCAAAGCCTGAACTCTACATCCTGAGCTCCAAGCTCCGTAACCCTAAAGCCCGATAGACCCCAAGCCTCAAACCCTAAACCCCCCAAACATTCAAGCCCTAAAACCCCCAAACCCAAACCCCTACCTATAAACACCCTATAAACCCTAAACCCCTAAAGTCCTACACCCCGAACCCTACCCTACAAAGCTCAAGATATAAAGATCCTCCATCAATAAACCCTAAACTGAACCCTAAACCCCAACAAGCCCTTAAGAACAACCCAAGACCCGAAAACCCTAAACCCCCCCCCCCCCCCCCCCCCCCAAACCCTGAAATCCTAAACCCAGATCCCTTGTAGATCCCTTAAAGAACACATTTCAGCCGGGGCTCTCCCTCCACCAAGGTCTCACGGTCCCTTTGGAAGCGCGTCCGGTGGCCGGTTTCGACCTTCTCCTGCCAGGGGTATCTAGAAATCCCGGCGTTTGCAGTTCGTAAATAAAGTAGGGTTCCTTTAACAGGTTCTTAAAAAGGGTCTAGAAGGGATGACATAAGGGCTAACTAGGAGGGTTTAGTATATGGGCCTTAATGATGAGAACAGGCCTCCGTCATGAAGCTTTCTTTACTGGCTGATCATAAGGGTGAGGCATATGATGCGATACATACAGTAAGGATCCCTAAGCAACAAGTTTCCAACATTGTTAAGTGAGTTTCGGCTCCGAGATTGTTCACAGCAGGAGCTACCAGACAGAAGGCCGAGTATCGGAATCGTCGTGCAGAGCCACGTTTGGGGCTCGGGGAGGTGCGGGACCTGGACTTGAGGCCTGCCTTCTGAGTTCGACAGCGCTCTACTCCCATACCTCGAGACTTATTGCGAAAAGCCATCCTTGCAATGACTCAGGGAACACACCCTCCACGGCAAGGGCTGCCATGAGGACCATAAGGATAGCTGAGTCAAAGCAGCTGAGTCAAATCCTGACTATGCCTTGTGTTTAGCGTGTTGCATTAAAGCGAAGGTTCCGAGCAAGCGCTAAGATGCTTCGCAGGCTTAGTTCACCAAAAATGCAGCCTCTGCTTCGGTGTCCGTGCCTCTGTCTCCCTAAACCCAGGATGTCTCCGTGTTGTCAGGCCTCTGCGCTTCTGGAAGCTACCGGTTGATTGTTATAGGGTTTAGCTACCATCTGTGGAATCTGTCGGCTGGCTCCTCGTAGGCGAGCAGATCAAAGACCAGCTCGTTCATCACCTAATTAGGGTTTAGGGGTTCAGTTATACCTAGAGTCTCCATTGTAGTTCCTTTTTTTGGTTAACCGGTCTTTGGGCTCGGAGCCTGTAATAGAGGTTTGGGAGTTTCCGAAAATTAGGGATACTTTATTTGGGGTCCGTATAATAAGGATCCCTCTATTTAGGGTGCTATATTGGGGCCCCTTTTCTTTCGGAAACTCCCATATAGAGGCCGTACTAACTAGAAAAGGCCTTTTGGGGCCCCATCATACTATAAATATGATAAGGAGTTTAAGGAGCCCCCCAAAATAGTAGAATTTAGACCCCACAGTATAGCTCTACCAAGTGAAGGCCCGAGATTCTCGTCGTTGCTCGCCATGCCCAAACATGGACCGAACACCCAAACACACTAAAGTAAAACTAAACTATCATCTAACGGACAAGCCCTACATAAAGGATCATGGGGCTTAGTACCTATAGACTATAAGTAAGTTGACTATGGCCATAACCCCGATTAAGATACGTATAGCCGGCGGAGGCAGTTCCCCGACCTCACGTTTAAGACCCACCTTAAGACCCACCCCCTGCGCTTTCACACCATTTGGGGCGTTTCCGAAAACTAGGAGGTACCTGATTTCGGGGTCCTTATAATGAGGATACTACTGTTTAGGGTACATAGTATGGTCCCCTGTTTTCGAAAACTCCCACTTCTCAAACCCGCCGAATAAAACAATCAGTGTACCCCGCAACACACAAAGCACACGCAACAATCCAACCAATGACCCATGACACAATCACATAACAAAGCCATATCATTGTTGAATTCCCTTAACCATGGGCTTGATGCGGCACACTACCCCAACAAAAACATGAGGCTTGTTGAAACCAACACCCAATATAGTAGACGGCAGCCAAGCAGGCCGTGCTGATCTTTATTCCATCTGCTCAACTTCTGATCTATGTTCTTTGCGGACGAAACCTTGCACCCCTGATCAAACCCCTGATCTTGCTATTGGTATACAAATTTGATATGGACATGTTTGTGCAGCCGTCTGTGTCTACATGTTTGTACACATACTGGTAAGCCCATGTAATCGGAAGAAGTATATATACATGTATATGGCAACCACAGAGGCAATGATAAGTATGAAAGAAGCGCTTCTAACGAAAAGCACAAATCCCACGATACCGATACTGATGTAGAGATACTCAATGAATGTAGAACCGTGGTACCATCGGGCATTATCATGTACCATCGGGCATGATCAAGAAACCCGAATTACAAAAACAATGTCAATGAAATAGATGGCAACACAGCCGTGATAAATTAAAAAACAAACAAACATTGACAAGCATAAAAAGGATACCGATGTCTAGGCAGTTTCATACGTGGAGGAAGTGGAGAGAAACTTCAAACACCAATGATATGCCGAGGTTGCCAATGCTAGTGTAATGCTTAATAGGAAGCATAACTTAATTGCGGAAAATCTTGAAGAGACTAGTAAAAAGTGAGTATCCTATATGTATACACCACGTGGATTACAAGCAGGTTATTATAGACGATTTATGGGCAGAGCCAATAGGTGAAAATCAACAAGAAGACCGGAAAATCACGAACACCACTGATAATACACCTTTTGTGCAATTGATACGTTGACCGAGGTATGTCACTAGCAGGGGCGTGATGGAGACAGGACATCTGCCATGAATGGAGCAACGAAGGACTACAAATATACAACATTGACGGAGGGACTTTGAATGTGGGTGGGTGATGCTTGAGGATGGCAATTGCGAGCAGTTTGTGGCGACAGACGGTGTTATAGATATACAGGAGGCAGCAGAAATTCATGTGACTAAATGTTATGTTTTCAGTGTGTCTAATGAATAGTGTTTGAGCACAGGGTTCAGGTATGTTAACGAATGCTACTATAAGACCAGAACTCTGAAGCATACGGGTCATTCAAAGAGAACGGGGTTGATGTTTGTATATATATATATAGTGTGTGAACACCGCAGCGCTCCCCATCAACAAGATAATGTCTTGAGAAGCTAGGTTCAATGAAGTGCTTGCTGCGCCAACGATCAGGCTGTCGCAAGAGAAAGAGAATGAGGCAATAACTGTACACAAGTTTTAACGTGCATATTCAGAAAAAACGATGATCTGCCTGAATACTCGCCTTACAATGTTATACTGGTTGATGAAGTGTATATGGCATCTAATGATTTCGCTAATCAAGATAAGACTGTTTGTTTAGATAATGCTGACAAAATCATACAAGTAGTAACAACTCGAAACAACTGCCACCTTAGACTGTGGCCGGCAACCAACCGCCAAGGTGATGTCAACAAATGCTTAGATGCGATATATGTCTATAACATCTTGTAGACATGTACGAACGGGCTCAAGGAGAGGAGGACAGGAACATAGCTATTGCTATGTATGCCGCTTTAAAGGTTATTGTGTTGCCATTAGAAGAGTCGGTTAAATCATACTTGCGATGACCGATGATGTGATGACATCCGACTACAACATAGCATATACAAACTGTAGTTGCGTGAAAGTAGCCAAAGAGGTCAGGAGGAGGTTACGTAAAACGTTAATTATGAAGTCGGAGAGCTTTGTGTACGTAGGCTGTACAACAAAATGAGAAACAATCATGCAAAGCGAATTTTAGACACATTATTAACGACATGAAACGTAGATATTTCATTTAGAGAGAACATCAGAAGCTGTGAGAACTTCAAGGCGGAAAGGGAAACAGCAAATAAGCATATTGGACATGATTACAATATTTCTTGCCATAGCGCCCAAGGGCCGACCATCAAGAACATTATAACAATTCTCGAATGTGAGTTGTCGCATGTCGTGCCTCGTGGGTGGATTTGGGCGGCAGTTACAAGAGCTGATGGTCTTTGAAAGGTCAAGCTTGTCAAGAACGACAGGTTTGATAGGATAACGGATAAGAACAGCATAATGCGCTATTTTGATAATAAGGTTGTACTAGTAAGGTACAATCAACACGACAGGAAAGCAAGCAGGAAGTTAAACGATGAGGAATATGTAGGGATGCCGAGCGGTGAAAGACTGAGAGGCAGCTGTAACAGTGCCGGAAAGGATTTGGATTAGAGACTAAAGCAGGTGAATTCTGCAGCGACTCTACCGTGAAAACGATAGACACGGCTACGAAAGCCTCGTGGTGAGAATGTTTTTATAGCTCCACATACTTTCTTTAGTGTCAGGTAGGTGTTCTAGTAGTCAAAGGTGTCTAAAACCAGTATTGATTGATGTATTGAGTTGATATGCTACTGTCATACCTATTGATGATGGAAGAACTACAATGCATGGGCGAGAAACTTAAGATGTTTTACAGTGATGAAGAAGGGAGTTTGTATAGACAAACAGTTGTTGAACCTTCCCCGAACAAGAAGGCATCCAGCGTTTCCGGAGCGTTTAAAAAAAACCTTTAGAGATATGTCATTGAAACGGGTCGAAGCCGCGCCGATGAACAAATTCCAGTGGATAGGTTACAACTTGGAGATACTATCCACATATAATAACAAAATGGTTTCGTGAGCGACTAAGATGACACCGATGGAAGCACACAACAAGACATGAACTTGAAGTTACGGCTCTATCTTCACAACCGATTCCAATAGAACATACCAACTGTTCATGATTATGATTATTTTGATTCGAGATATAAATACTATTACTTGTTCATTGCTACTGGTATGACTCTCACGTTTGTTCTTGTTATCTTTTCTAACATAACTATCATGCTTCTTACTACTGTGATTATTACAATAGGTGTGTTTAGGCCACGAGCCGACAATTGCAAGCTCCAACCAAAGTGTTGCATGAAACATGAGGTTATGTCGAGGTCTGCTATGTATTTTAGTATGTGGTGGTGCAGAAGGTATTGACCGTGTGGGCCTATCAATGTCCTAATTAAACGCATACAGCCTACTATGGATGCTGCATTATATCTTTTTTGCCTTTCAACCAGTTCGCTTACTATGGTTAACGACACTAAACCCCAAAGCCCAAAGCTGGGCGGACCAATGTCTGGAACTTCCTGATGTCAATTCGGATGGTGAGGTCTTCCACCTGGCATTTTCTCAATAGTTTCGGGCTCCAGGGTCAAGGCGAGGGGTGTAGCAAAAACAATGCTATGCACCCATGCATGACCTCCTTTTTCACGGCCTTGTTGTTTCCAGAGTTTCCAGAGCATTGTGTTCCGGTGCCTCTACTTACAACATTAAAGGAGTCGAGACGGCGAAGCCGCAGAGGAAAAGAACTCATGCGGTTCGTCTTGTTCGAGCATTTGAAGCTTCCAAAAAGTGCAAGTCGAATTTAGCAGGACTGTGATGATAATATCCATCATGGCTCCGTCGCTGTCCCTGTTGTGGAACCAAGAAACTGGCGCAGAATAAGGCTTCCCAAGAGAGAATTGATTCGCCTCTCTTGGCCGGCAATGCTGGCGCGAATACGAGCTTCACCTTCAGGTGAGGAACACTGCGCATCTTGCACATCGATGAAACCGCCACTGCCTGCCGACTGCAGAAGCTTTATTTGTTTGTTGACCTTGCAAGTGCGGTAGCAAGCAGCACAGAGCAGTGGGATCGGAGCGGCAATAAGTGCAGCCCCACCACTGTTCTTGAATGCTGTCCATACAACGTAATCGGTTGTACTCCACACAGTGAGAATGACAACAGAGACAGTTATGCAACCGGCCATGGCCCAAAAACCGGCCAGTTGATCGCGCAGCTGTTCTGGAGTGCTTTTACGCCACTCTTCCTCCTCCGCTGCCAGGGCGGCTTCGCGCCGCCTCTTCAAGGCAGGACAGCAGGGGTCAAGTGCGTCAGGGCGGAGGCCGCCAACAGCATCCTGAAAATCCATATCCGCATCGTTGGCAGCATATGCTTCGAAGGACTGGGCTTCAAACTGGGCAACGACTGCAGAGCTGTCAGTAGCGAGGTTCGCTGGACGGCCAACCAGGGTGATCGGAATATGCCGGCACAGGGCCATGTGGGCTTCAAAAACACACCACAAGCGAGTGTGAATCGGTGTGTTCTCTGTGGCAACCATTATCACACAGCCATGAGCTGGCATGTTCTGCAATGCGACATGAAAAGGTGAGGTTTCGATACTGGCTAGCATAGCCGCGATATCCAAGTTTTGAGGAATGGACAGAAAGCAAATGTAGGCAGCGGCATTCATATCATTCAGGGGCCACGCCTGCATCAGGAAGCGCCGAAACTCAAACACACCTTCTGCCCAGGCGTGCGTGACAAAATGAGTCACACGTGCCCCAGTAGGAGAACCACGCAGTGCCCAGCTAACTCCAGGGAATGGCAGCAAAGGGTCTGCCGTCGCCGGCACGATTACCTGCTCATTCACCTGATACATGTTCGGACCAACTGCATCATTCTGAAACTTTGACTCATCATACGGCCTGCCAGCATTCTGCAAAGCTCCGGAACGGTACTTCTCTTCCACGGTGGTAAAGAAACTCTCCAAACTCCCCAATGTCACACCCCAACGGTCTGCCGTCACTTGCTCATGGAGGAACTTGGCACCACTGAAGCCGCCCGCCAGCTGTTGGATGTCGCGGGCTTGTCGCAACAACGAAGAATCATCTGGCCAACATGAAGTGGGTTTCGCTCTCCAAAGGAGCACACCGCTGCGTGGGTGATGTTGGGGGAAATACAACCTGCTGTCAGCATCCATCAGCCAACCAGGGTGCTCTGACACAGGCAAAGCAGAAATCGTCTCACCTGTCTTGATGCTGTTCTCAGACATGTCGGAGAGAGTGGGGGACTTCCTGCCCATTACCATCACGTCGAAAATGTATTCCCAACACACCTTCTCAAACATCGGAACTTTTGTCTGTGGATACAACAATGGCAAGAACAGCCCCTCGGACTCCTTCCAAAGCCACAAGGACCCATCCTCTGCAGTCACGGACTTGCCGAAGAAGGTATCGCCGCCGGAGCAAACGGAACCCTCCTTCTCACACATGGTTGTAGAGGTGCGATAGGCCACAGTGTTGCTTGGCCCGACAACACAACGCCACGCTTCATCCTTGTCGGCAGCAATCATGCTTCGATAGGAGCTAGGCTCGGAAAAACCTGCTGAGCCAAATACTGTGGTTGGAAGTTGCGTTGCCGGTGGGATGTTTAGTTCACTGGCATTACACACTCGACATCCTTGGCAATTTGTCTTATTGCACCCGACCTGCTTGGATTTTTAAACATGCAGGGCGCGCCATGTCACCGATGATGCCGGCGTAGCCATTGCATCCGACAGTTCAGGTGGTTTGGGGTTTACAGGGTTTAGACAGTTCAGGGTTTGTGGGCTTCTGGGAAATGTTCTAACTAGGGCTCAGCTCCCAGTTCAGGTTAGGATATGGGTCATCTTAGAGATAAGGTTGTGGGATGCAGCGGGCTTAGGTCATTCGTTATGGTTTGGGGTTTTTGGTGCACATTGCGCTTTACGATTTTGTTATAGAAATGAGCAAAACCACGGGGTGAGTCAAGGTGCGGGGCATGGGGTGAACTGGGAAAAAACTTGCCTACCTAAACCCCCCAAAGTAGGTAAAACAATGGCCCAAAACCTAAAACGGGCTATTATTCTACATACTTTTAGGGTCCAGGTAGTCCCCTGAGCCAGGCCCTTGACCTCGAAGAACTCCACGCTGACAGCAGCCTTCTCCAATGTTCCAAAAAGGCGCTCCTGCTGCTCTCTGCAACCACAACGACGACAAGCAAGATCAGAATAGTTAAATGCGGGCACCTTTTTTATAAGGTTGCCATATTCTATTTGGGACCGAGCAACGGGAACCCTGGTTTTTCGGAACTGCCCATTCCATGAGTTTCTTGAGGATGCAGGGTTTAGGGTTTTCGGCTTTGCGGTTGCTGTCTAGCGTCGGCAGTGTTGGATTGCGTTGCTGCCAACATGCAGATGCCCCTTGAAGTCACCAGATTCAAGGAGCCAAATACCTTGTTGCAAACCTTCTCTCCCGTGAACCTAGACCGTGTAAAAGCCGTGCGTTCATGTGTGTTGGTCCTGGAGCAAGTTAAAAGACTGCTCCAGCAAACCATCAGCAGCAAAGAGCGTGTGCTGCTTGCCGGTACCTCATGCCACACTGTGTCTGGCACGTCAGTGTCAGTTCAGGGCTTCTTGCCGAGAGTTGTAAGTTGACAGTTCACTATGCGACGCGTTCTAGGGATCAGTATGGCTACTTTCGGATCAAGGCAGTCTTTAGAGGGAAAGAGCCCGTCGGCTCTCGTGCACCGACCAAAGCCCGCAGCTCGTAATGCCCAAACCCCGCGACCAACTCAATCACATATCCAATACCTGTGCTTTGTATACAATGCAACTCCGAAAACCATGCTAACGACATTGATGTTCCGGGTGATGATGATGGCGATCATGACATCTGCTTGGCGGCATCTGCTGCAAATGGTTAGAAGAGCGTCCCCCAACAAGAAGCAGAACAAGGAAGGCATTAACAAACCACACCCTTCTACCCAGGGGCCCCAAAGTAGTTCCTTTTTGGAGTTACCCGATAGGATTCTATATATGAACCCCAAAAAGGAACTACTTTGGGGCCTTTGGGTAGCTTTCAAGCCTGCGCAAGCAAGGAACTGAAGTTTTCGAGTCTCAGATGGGTCGTTCTCTAAACTAAGGTCCGGTTTGGGCTTCTTTTCCCAAGGCTGTCGTACTATCTTTGGGGGCCGAAAAAGGGGACCCTAATTTAGAGAACTACCCGGACATATGCAGGTTCACACCTCTTGCGAAACTCGACATAGCAGAAGCCAGAAAGTTGGAACCTCATTATCCTCATGCCCTTAAGATAAAGTATAAAACAAGGATCATGGCACCAATACTCCTAAAGCCATGTTCCAATTTTCTGGCCCCTACCTAGAGTCTCCATTGTAGTTCATTTTTTGGTTAACCAGTTTTATGGTTAGGACGCTAAAATAGAGATCCAAAGAAAGGAACTGCAATGGAGACTATAGGTAATATCATGGACTCCAGGGGTCCAAGATCCGAACTCGTCAACACGGGAAGCTCAAAATCTGCGCAACCCCTTGGCCCCCCAAACCGGAACTGGGAGATCCCAAAATATGGTAGGAACCTTATTCTAAGGACTCCAAATAAGGTACCCCGAATTCTCGGAAAACCCCAACTAAATCCTAAACAACTAAATACGACTCCTACATGTGAAGCTGCAAGGCACTTTACCCGCGGACCCCTTTCTGCTCGCAAAGTTTCGTGATGCCCCGCGCAGGAGCACTGCTGCACTCTGCCCAGAGAGTGTACCCAGAACGAGGTCGAACACGGCATCCTGAAATATGGCCTGCAGCTGGTCGGAGAAATTTGGGATTCACGGTCTGTTCCTGCGATTTGGAGTGCCCTGCACTGCAATAAGGCGTGCTGTCGTCGTTCATCGACGACAGAGAGAAGCGGAAACTACACTACTTAGAATCTCCATTGTAGTTCCTTTTTTCTGGTTAACCAAAATCTCTATTATAGGATCCCAACCACAATAAAACCGGGTAACCAATCAAAGGAACTACAATGGAGACTCTAGGTACTTACTATAGATCCCTATTACGGTAACCCTAAACCCTTAAAGACTTAGGTTCAGTTGAGCTCATGCTGCATTCAAAGGATTTGGGGATTCGGCTCTGGGCTGGAACTCGTTTCAGCCAGCACGGTATTTAGGGTTTAGGGTTTAGGGTTTAGGGCATAACATAGTCTAGTACTAGAACTAAGAGTGACCTAGGAATAAAATATGGCGCCCTTGTTGGGTTAAAGGGGGTTATAAGGGAACCCAAACCCTAAAAAGGGAATAAGGGCCTACTCTGGGTCCTAGAGTATAGTATGCTATGCAAACTTTTCATAGTTGTAGTGTATTTAGGGCATCACGCTTGGACCCCTCATTCCCGGAAGCTGAGCAAATCGTCCAAATCGCACTCGGAATTGATGAGTCCCTCCGAAAACATAGCGACGCCACTTCCCCGAATCTAAATCATGGTTGAGACCGTTCTAAACCATCCAAATTGCAGTAATTAAGCACATGAACATGTGAAACACCATTCACCTATGACAGTGCCAAGGTCTACAGTGTAAACGTAGATGAACTCTTTTCCGATATCGAACCAACATGCGCTTTATCGATTCCTGCCCAACTTGGTTTGCCTCGGTAGATGCGGACTCGTCGTAAACCTGGGTCGCGATGTCTATACCTAAGAGTGCCCTTTTTGGTTTCCGGGAACCTGAACCCTACGGAATAGGGGCCTACTCTAACTCTATAGGTCCCAGATGTCAAACAAGCTTCTTTCATGTCAGGCTCTCCTGACAGCGATTTCCTTGCAATGAACATGCCATACACGTACTTCAGCACTTCTAATAAGGATCCTACTATTTAATGTACTATCTTAGGCTTCCTTTCTTCGGAAACTCCCAGATGTGCTTTCCTGAGCTACAGCGGTTGTCGACTTGAGGAAGCAAGCCGAAGTCTCTGCACACTCGAGAGGGGTCTGACAACCAACCCTAAACCCTACTTAGAGGATCATGGGACTTAATAAGTAGGTTCTAATTGGGGTTATAAGCCCCCTAAGTGAGGTTTTCCTAATTATAACCTACTTATAACCTTACTTACTAAGTCCCATGAGCCTTCAAGTACATGAGTGGTTGTCAAAATTATGGTCCTTTTCTGGGTCCTTACTATAGTACGGCACCTAATATTTAGGGTACACAAAAAGGGACCCTAATTTTGACAACTACCCACAACCGTGGCTCTGTTTCATTCGTCGAAGAGCCATGTCTCACACGGAATGGAAGCACTGGGACAGGCCGAGAACAAAATCGCAGGGGGCTCCTAAAACATGAAATCCGAAACAGTCCCCCCGAGTCACCTGTAAGCTGTAAAATCACCAAAACCTCCCAAACAGCCATCCGACACAGTTACCCGGAGTCAATTTTAAGCCCTAAACCCCAAAAGCCTCCCAAACAGTCCAGTCACTTTAAGCCGAAAACCCCAAAAACCTCCCAAACAGTCCAGGTGCCAGGTCCAGGGCGACTTCTGTACTGTACCTTTGCAGTTGGCAAATGTCTCGGGCTTTTCCGGCGTTTCAAGAGTTGATCATTGAATGACTCAGACACCCTAAATCCGAAATACCCCCTACGCTCAAAACCCTACACTCCACACCAAATGGACTAAGGGATTGAAGCCAGAGTGGCGAGTGCCCAATCATGAAAGCTCTCGAGCATGCTAAAGCTGCTTTCGCTGCTTTCATATGCACTAACAGCATGCTCTTATAGTCCCCATATAGTTGGAATGAAGTAACAACATGCCCGTTTTGTCCCCATGCAGCTAGAGCACAAGAAGCCCCAAAGGCCAATGCTGATTACAAAGGCCCTACTGTAGGGTTTTGGGGCCCATGATACCATAGCTATAATGAGGACCCCTACAAAATACTATTGGTGCTTGTTTAGGCTGATTCCAACAAACGAAGGACCTATTAATTCAATTCTAGCCTTTAAGGGTTACTTTATAGGGTGCCATAAGGTTCAGGGTATAGGTTTTAGGGGTCCTTGTGCTCAAATAAGGTATGCTTTGGCCACGGAACTACTTCAAGGACAAAGTACATCCTATTTGGGCACAAGGACCCTTAGCGAAATCTACTGTCAGCCCCAAAAGACAGCAAAAACCCAATGTTCAGAAGAATCATAAGGACCCTTAAGGGGGGTAGGGGGGAGGGGGGTAGGGGGCCTTAATACCCATAATAAGGACTTAATACAAGCAAGGCCTATTTAAGGAAATATAGTCCCCTACCCGCCGCCCCCCCACCCCCAAGCCCTACGGGTCCCTATGAAAGAATCTCCTTGCCAAGCCCCAGATCAAATCTAACCCCCGGAACCCTGAACCCTACTTTTCTAAACCCTGCACCCCAAACCACCCCAACAAAACACAACCCTAAATCCTTCAGCCTAAACCCTAAACCCTAAGCCTAAATCCTTAAGCCGAAACCCAAAACCCTACATAAGCCTAAACCCTCAAGCCTAAACGCTAAACTCCTGGGTCCTAAGCCTAAACCCTAAACCCTAAACACCATACGCCCTAGCAAAAAACAGAACCTAAGACCTAAACCTTGAAGCCCAAACGCTTAACTCTTCAGCCTCGAACAGTCTCCCTAAGGCTCCATGTACCCATATAGTATATACTTAGGCCTTAAAGTCCCCATATAGGGACCCGTTTAAGGCATAAGTATCTACCATAATGATACTTGGACCCTTTGGGTCTGCTGCAACCCGAGGAGCTCTCCCAGAGTCGCTCTTGCCCGGCCTGTTGGGTTTTAGGGTTTAGGGTTTTATGGTTTAGGGTTTATGGCTTAGGCTTACCCAAAGGGTCCTATGTACTGTTATGGGGGACTTAAAGGGATCCTATCCTTGGAGGGATCTAGGGTTTAGTTTAGGGTTTAGGGTCTACCATGAGCCTTTAAGTAGGGGCCCGAGAGGGCCCTATGTACTGTTATGGGGGATACTTCCCTAAGGCATAATGGTCATGCCTAATATGGAAACCCTACATTCTACTATATCGTTACATACGGTTGATGGTATAAATCCTGCATTACCCATAATAAGGAATATACCATAATTCCCATAGTCTAGGGTGGTTAAGGTAATGCAGGATTTATATCATCAACCGTAGGACCCTTTGGGAATGTATTCCAAGAGACTCCAAAACCAATTAAAGGGTTCCTTTTAAGGGATCTATAAGGGATATATAGGGTACGGTCACCATAATGGGGTCTAGAGTCTAGGGTTTGGGGTTTTGAGTTACCTACTCTACTTATGGAACTTAAAGTGATTGACCAGAACGTTTAGTGGGGTCGAGGGCTCTGAGGATTTCAAACGAGCATCGTTTTTAGGAGTCTATAATAAGCAAAGGCCTTGCTGTTTTGAACTTGCACCAGACTAAGTTCCCTAACAAGAACCCCGCCAAGGAAGGCTTTCAAAGGTCACAAATCAGCGCTCGCGCGTGGCAGATATTGCGGAGCATTGAGTTTAGAGTTTAGGGCTGTTGAGTTTAGGGTCTCGGGGGTTTAGAGTTCAGGAACTGTTTTTGGGAGGTGATTGCGGACTGTATCGCGCTTGAGCACGTCTGGGGAATCAGTTGTGGGCTTCGAAGCTGTTCCCATGCTGAAGTCGGGCACTGTGTAACTGGGTTCTTGTTCAAGTGTTTACGTTAAGCGACCATGGTGGGCATCTAGGGTAACCAGTATGTTTCCTTATCATGGCAACTTAAATTAAAGTAAGCTCCTTAACAAGAAACCAGGTACTTGGAGGGGCAGGGGACTTAGTAAGTAGGTTACAAGTCGAGTTATAAGTACCCTAAAGGGAGATACCCCAACTATAGCCCTACTTAAAACCGACTTACTAAGTCCCCTGCCCCTCCAAGTACATAGGTGGAGGAAGCTTCTGACATGGCGGCAGGACTGATCATCGACAGGAGGCTGGCAGCAGGCCCTCAAGGACTAAGCTTCCGGACATGAAGAGCATGTTCGCTGGAACCTCATTGTGTGCCTCGGGCGTATGTCTACGGAAAGTGTGTGTGTGCCTATATATATATATATATATAGATATACCCGAAGCACGGACCCTCCCCACAGAAATGCCAAGCTATACCAAACACCTCAAACCAAGCCTATTGATCGCGGCACCAACTGCCATGTGCCAGAGTACTAGATCTTTGGAGTTCGTAGCAGAATTTGTTGCCATACATTTGGCAAGCAATCTTGACAACGCTAAACCCTAAACCCTATACCCCGGTTCCACCAACCTTGCTGCGGCTCCAACTTCAGAACGTCCTTGCATCCTCAGCTACTCTGCACATGGCTGCTCAAGCTCAGCGCTCTATTCAATAGGCGTATATGACCCCAAGCCCAAATGCTAGGCATATAGGGTCTCGCAGAGGGTAGACGTCTCGGAAATCCGGGAAGGACGGGCTTTTCGGACAAGAGTCCCCCTCCCGCCGACTGCTCTTTGGCTGTCGCTGGACGGCATCTGAGGATGCTTACCTCAGCGGAGGCTGCGAGTTTCATGGGCCAAACCACTTTAGGGCTTAGAAATAACGGTTCAGGTCCAGGGCTTTAAGGATAAACCTGTTCAGGATTTAATGGTCTACAGCTAACGGGTCAGGGTGTCGGGTTTAGGGTTCAGGGTTTAGGGTGCAAAGTAGCACGACCTTCAACCACAACGAAGCCACGACCTACCCTCCAATGAAGCCACTATCGCAGCCAGCGTCACGTGCAAAGAACCCAATATTGCTCCTCATACGATCAATGGCCGCAGTAAAAATCAAAAACAACAAATACAGTCATACTTACAGGAAAGTGGGACGTCGAAACTGGGCTTCTAACTCATGGGACTTCGTAACTAGGCTTCAAAATAAAGCATTGCTGCTTCTAACCCCATTTAAGGAGCTCATAACCTAACTTATGATGTCCCCTCACAAACCCAAAAGGTCAGGTGGCTTTATCCTCCGGAGAGAGGGTTTCAGGCGCAGGAGCCTGCGTTGATCCTCGTGTCTTCACCTATGCCTCCAGGGACGTTATTATGGGGTCCTTAAGGGGTTTAGGGCCCTAACTATGAGGTCTTTGGAGGGATAGGGCAATGCAAGGAACGGAAAAAGCTTTCCGGGTGTTACGGTTAACAGCTTCAAGCTTAGAAGTCTTGGGTTTATAGCTGGGAAGGGCTACCCACAGGGTCCAAGCAACAGTATAGTAAACACGTTTTGGAGCGCGAACATCCACTACGTACCTACTACATTGGTACATGGGCCCATAAGCCCTGAACCGTATAAAAACCCTGATAGAACCCTTACTTGGAGGGGCAGGGGACTTAGTAAGCCGTTTATAAGCAGGGTTAGAATTGGGGTAACTCCGTTTCGGGTACTTATAACTCTACTTATAACCTACTTACTAAGTCCCCTGCCCCTCCAAGTACGGTACCCTTAACGGTCTGAAGGAGTTCTTAGGGTCCCTTAAGGTACATGGACCCTTTACTTGGAGGATCAGGGGACTTAGTAAGTAAGGTTATAAGTGCCCTGATTAGGGGTTATAGGTAATTATAAGTATAGTTGCCTCATTTATAACCTTAGTTACTAAGTCCCATGATCCTTTAAGTAGATCCTAAACCCTAAACCCTATAGATCCCTGTTATGGAAACCCCTATAGATCCCTTTAAGTAGGGAGAGAGCAGGGACGAGAAGCCACGTGCTGTCGCGGCAGCACCAGCAGCTGAAGTACGGCGCCGTCAGGCACCTTCAAGTCCGGAGCTTCCGAAAATTGAGGGGATACCTTTAAAGGGATCCTTCAAGGGTTCCGTAAAGGGATCTATAAGGGTTCCACAAAGGGTTTAGGGTCTAGTTTAGGGTTTAGGGTTTCGAGTTTCCGAAAATTTTAGGGCTACCTAGTATTGGGGTTCCTTATAATAAGGATCCTACTAAATAGGGTACTACTTTAGGGTCCCGTATTTTCGGAAACTCCCAAGTCTGCATTTCAAGGAAGGCGGCTGACCAGAGTGGGAGGATTCTCGAATTCAGACCCCCATCCTCATCCCCGAAACCCTAAACCCTCCTGAACCCTAAACCCTAAACCCTCCTAAACCCTACACCCTTCTAAACCCTAAACCATCCTAAACCCTACACCCTTCTAAACCCTAAACCATCCCAAACCCTAAACCCTTTTAAACCCCAAACCATCCTAAACCCAAAACCCCTGAACCCTTTCTTTTAAGCTTGAGTCCCAAGGCCCAAACCCATACAGTAGAAGCCCAAAAGTTGGAAACTCAATGGCCTCAATCCTTAAGAGCACTGTATAGGGAATCCCAGCAGTAATTGTTCTTGATGCGGTTTCCAACTTTTGGTGGTTTACCATATTCCCTGAGTCTAAACTGAACCCTCAACCCTAAACTTGCCGTGATTGGCCCAAACGGGCATCCCCTTGTTTGCAAGGGAACCCTAAACCCCCCCCTAACCCTGAACCCTAAACCCTAAACCCCTAACCCCTAAACCCCTAAACCCTAAACCCTGATGCAAGGGACGACCAGGGACGACCCTGGCCTTCTGAGACAAAAGGTCATTCTTCTCCAAAACGCCTGCGGCAGAAAAGAAGGGGATTGTTGGGATCAGGCAGAAGACGGGCATGTGAAGGCTTGGGTACTCTGAACCTAACCCTAAATCCTAAAACCTAAACCCGAAATCAATTTACGCCCTAAACCATAATTCCTAAACCCTACTTGGAGGATCAGTCTGATTCTTCGCGAGGTTGTCTGGAGGCTCGGAACATGTTCAGCTTCCTGGATTTCCGGGTTTTCTTCGCAGACGGCTGACGCTTCTGGCCCGCTTAATTGACGGAAGATGCGATGACTAGCACTACTTGGTATCATCATCATCCTCATCAGTGTTGGTATGCATGAGACCTTAAGCATGAGTGTCATCATCACCATCATCTTCATCATCATCGTTAGTATACATGAAACCCTAAGCCCTCAACAACACTGAACCCGAAAGCAAAAGCAACACAGAACCCAGAGCACCTTCCCCCAGGAGCAGCCGTGCGGACCGCAAGTTCGCCTTGCGGGCAGGCTTGCAGAGGGTTTAGGGTTGGAGGGTTTAGGGTTTTAGGCCCTAAAGGTTTCGGCTTCAAGGGTTTGTAGGTTAGGGTTTGGGGTTAAAATATTTGCCGAGTATCCTGGGGTAGCTAAAGGTTAACCTTTGCGACTGCAAGGCGGTGAAAGTACGCTGAAAAGGGTCAACGGTTACCTGCTCTCCTGCTAGGTCTGCCCTAAGGCCCCAGAGTAGTTGCGTTTAGGGATTTATACCGTATAGGATTCTATTCCACGAAAGAGGAACTACTTTGGGGCCTTACGGTAGGCTTGGGGTTTTCAGGGGTGGATGAAGCTGGGGGTAGCCATGAGGCTGTTTCAGGGAGCTTGTACTTTCGATACTATTGATGATATAAATCTTGCATTACCCTAAGGACCCTAAACTTTATTCCTCCTTATTATGGGTAATGCAGGATTCATATCATCAACCGTAGTAACCAGGGTTAAAAACAAGGCAACGGTGCGTGTAATTAGAAAGAACAGGAACCAAGGTACTTAACAAGTATCTATAACCATACTGAACTCAGTCCCTTGATCCAAGACGGGGGTATTGCAGGGTACTGTATGAGGTTAGCCGAAGGGTACTACAAGGGGTACGACAACTTAGGAGCGCTATAAAACTAGGCTCGAAGGACGTTCGACTGTGGTACCTGTTGAATATCTCAGCTTCATTTATAGAATCCTAACCATAAATAGAGTACCCACACAACGGTAGTATCTTCATCCACATTTGCAAATTCAATACAAGTCGATACCAAGTTCTTGGGGAAAAAACATTCAGAACTTTGGCATGCTCCCGGCTATCTGCAGCTTAGTGCCCCTTCTTGCAGCTATTTCCCACACTCTGCACCCAAACCCCTCCTTGCAAACGTCAGGTGATTGATGCTCAGCCTTGTCGTCTCAATCCCTGACTGGAAAGCAAGTCTCCTAAACCCTAAACCCTAAACCCTAAAGCCTAAACCCTAAACCCTAAATGCTGTACAACCAAAACTGTGCACCCTGAGAACTCGTGGATCAGCAAAGTCGAACCATGTCGTGACAAATCGGCAAAAAGCGACACCAGTAAAAACCCTGGATGGATCCATCAAAGAACCTTCAAAGAGCCAACAACCCACTTCTAATCCGTATTTCTACCCCTATATATCGAACCCTGACTAGAGGATACTGTCTGTAAGCTTATGAGCTTTTCTGCAATAGGACCATGATGCCGCATTGTCGGAACTCCTGGAACCGGCACATTACAAAACCCAAGACGCGACCTTGGTTTGGCAAACCATGGGACTATACGGCTGATGACATAAATCCTGCATTACCTTAAGGACCCTAAACTATGGGAATGATGGTATATTCCCTATTAAGGGTAATGCAGGATGTATATCATCAACCGTAGTACCTAGGTCGATACGCGCGGCGACTGAACTTGAACTAGTTTCGGAGAAAAAAAAAAGCAATTCAGGTTCCTGCAACCTTGCGTACAAAGTCGCCTGATCCCAGAAAGCCTTGACAAGATGGCTACGACTCGCGGGACCTTCTTCAGGCCCGCATCTTCATTTGCAAAGACCAGTCCTGGCTGTGAGGGCACAGTAACTGAAGTTTAACGAAGCTCGCGCGCCCAGAACATGGCTCTAGTCGACAGATTTCGTGCTGGGTCTGAGCAGCATTAGTATGCGCATCGAAGTTAGTTACTTGTCTAGCCTACAATTCCCAATAGTGGTAGTGCTAGTCTTCGTATGCTTCTGTACCCGATCAAGCCCCCGTCTCGAGGTGCAGAAACGAAACCGAAAGCGCCGAAAGTCCAAACCTCGAAACCACCTGTGTCAAACTAGACACGCCCAACCAACCAACAATCGAGAGGAGCCTCCCTAATCCCCCCCCAAAAGTAAGCAAAATAATGGCCCAAGACCTAAGAAAGTGCCATTATTCTACATAATGTTAGGGTCCAGGTAATATGTATATAGTACTGGAGACTGTGCAGTCGAGACTCGCAGCAACTCGCGGACCGTCGATGCTCCCGGACGCTGAAACGTGCCCAGGTCCTCTGCATTATCTGTTTGGTTCTTAGTAGGAAATGGCGCTCCTTTAAGGGTTCGTTTAAGGGTTACTCTAAGGGTTACGATGAGGGTTGCACTATAGGGGTTTAAGGTTCTTAGTGGTCTGTCTGGATCTTAGAAGGGAATGGGGGAATTGATCCCTATAGTAGCCCCTATAATCCCCAATAATAGTCTCCAGGCCTTACCCTGGGGCTCCAAATGGCCCAAAGTAGGTACTATATACAGACTTTAAACCCCAAAGTAGGCACTACTTGCATACTTGGAGCCCTAGGGATTACGCCGTGACCAGATCTGTGCCGTCTCATATGGGTGGTTGTCAAAACTAGGGTCCCTTTTGGGGTACCCGAAATATTAGGTGCCGTATTATATTCGGGACCCCAAAAGGGACCCTAGTTTTGACAACTACCCATACAAGCGTTTGAGCCGTAAGCGTTGACTTTCTAAGTTTCATGCAGCATAACCTGACCGGTTTTTATCGCATCCAACATGCCCAGGACCGGAAGATCTAGCAAAGTTGGCATTGCCGCGAAGCTTCAAGATCTGAATCAGCTTTAACTATAGTCTCAGTCCTGGCCGGACATCAGCACCACCCGCACGGTGACGTAGTCCGTGGCGCTGGACAGCGTGGCCATGCCAAGATATCCGTCGCAGCCGTCCGCCATTTTGCATTAACTGACTGTCGACAAGTGGATAGCCCAAAACCTCTACTATAGGGGTCTAGAAAAATTAGAACAGGGTGTTGGGGTATATGATAAGGAACCCCAAACTAGTATAGGTAATCATTTAAGTCACTATATAAGACCCTAAAACCCAAATCTATCAAACTGTCTGCACCGAGGAGTTAGGACAGCTCTGCTCTCTAACCTCCTCTCGCGGAGTTACCTCGAGCTGTTTCGACGTCTCTCTTCGCTTCACTTCTCATGACTCTCAAGGCACAGAGCCTGCGACGACGGAGCGCGATCTCAAGGGTTTAGGTTGGAAGCTGCCCCCACCCTGTAATAGTGACTATAAGGATTGTATTAGGGCCCTATTATATTCCTATTATACCACTATTACACGGTGGGGGCCCCTTCTAGGGTTTAGGGTCTCAAGAAGATTCGACATTTTTGTTCAGGATTCCTGTTGCGAAGCAACACTCCAGGTATGTATGGACCTACCCCTCCAACGGCGCCAAGCAATTTGCCCGTCACTTGGACTCAACGAATCCAACAGTCCGAACTAGAGCTGTGGCTACGACAGCGACTGCGACACGACGACCGCAACGGCCACCACTGCGACGACGACTACGGCGACGACGACAACAACAAACCAGTACTCCTCCTCCTCTTCACTGCTGCTGCGAAAACTTCATTCATATCTGACTCAGACGTTTAAGAATGCTGGCGAGAACAACTTGTCATTTCACGATAAAGAAGAACCCTAAACCCTAAAACAATCCCAAAATTTAGGCCCTTAGCCCTAAGCACAACACCCTAGACCCTACATGGCCTCGTGGTAGGCAGTTGAATTCAAGGACCTGCACCGCAGGAACGGAAGCCAAAGTTCCCCCGAGCTGTGGGGGTTTAGGGTTTAGGGCAGGGTTTAGGGTTTAGGGGTTAAGGGTTTACGTTGGGGTTTCGGATGCTTCTGACACACGGAAGACTGCTGCAAATTGTACAGCGCGAGGAAACTCATACCCCTGCAGTCGAGGTTGTCTGTGGGTGCTGGCTGAAATATCAACCTCTAGTTCCTGGACCCTAAAAGTATGCAGAATACTGGCCCTTTTCAGTCTTGGGCCCATATTTTACCTACTTTTGGGGGCTTAGGTTTGTAAGCCCAATGAACACAGCGTTGGCAGCGCTAGAAGCTCGACACTTCACCTCGTGATCGGGCGGCAAAGCAAGAACCAAATCGCAAGACCAGAAGGTACTATAGATACTATATATAGGGGCCTGAATAATATTAACAATAATAGTAACAAAAATTAGTAATAGTAAGGAACCCCCAAAATAGTAGAAGGTAGCATGATTGTGGGGTGAACGCCACGACCAAGGTCAGGAAGTATTCATGCCTCCAACAGCAGCTGAGGTAGTCAAAAACAGGCTTGAAAGAATCAGCTCAGTAGATGACCAGTGAGGGCATTTCCGGGACTGACAACAGTCTTTATGGAAATTGCAATATTAAATTACGGAACCCGAAGGAACAAACAGTATGAGTAGTTAATCGGACACATATTGCTGCTGCTCGGCTACATTGGTGTTTTTGTTCCGAAAGTGCGTCAAGAGAAACATCTTCAGACTTGAAGCAGTAGGGGTATGGTAAAGGCGGGCTACATTGCCGCATCCAACTCTATCGGCCCGTCTCTCTGATAACGCGCGAGGTGCTATATGAGTGATGGTAATTAGAACAATGTCGTGGAGTATATGCCAGCATAACTGTTACAGTAGGAGTGGTATTGGCAATTACTCAGGCTTCTTTTCTTGGGGTGGGAGACATGACCCAGACCTCGCGGTGGCTGGACACGAGGGCGAGAATGCCTGTCCACAGAAATCTTGACCGCACGTCCTACATCCCCTAAACCCTAAACCCCTAAACCCTAAACCCCTAAACCTACCCAAGCAAAACCCGAAAACTTAGCTGAAAACCCTGAAATCTCGAAGCCAAAACAGCTCGATGCGTCGGACTGTCGTCGAAGAATTTGGGCGATGAAAGATGGTGCGACACGGTTTAGGGTTTAATTTTAGGGTTGAGGTTTTAGGGTTTAGGGTTCTTTTCCTTTGGCGTTGGTTGCGTTGCGTCTGGCCACCTCCATTGGGTGTCTGAAGTTCGGCTTAAGGCCTCGTGACCACTTTTCAGTCTATGCATGTGCCACCCTACGCGTACTTAGAGGATCATGGGGCTTAGTAAGTAGGTTTGGGGTTATGAGTCCCCTAAGTGGGGTTATCCTAATTATAACCGATTTATAACCTTAGTTACTAACTCCCATGAGCCTTCAAGTAGTTCCCTGAAACCAGAAATGCCACAACAACTCCAAAAAATGCCTTGAAGTCGAGCCCCCAACCCCTAAACCCTAAATTTACACCCACAACACCAAGCCCAAAACCCCCGAAATGGAATTCTGCCTCGGATTACCGAAGATGTTCAGCTGGGAACTGAACAACAAACTCTAGTGGAAAACACAAGGAACCCCAAGGGTCCAAGTACCTAATAATCATATACTTTCCCAACTATGAACCTACATAACTACTATGCTACGCCTAACTACCTCATTATTGGGTCCTTGGGACCCTTGGGGGAACACATGTTCCTCCATGGTCTCTGGTAATATCTCGCCTGAAACCACTGGATGTGCTGCCAGGGCATTCGACATCTTTCTGACCTGTTCCCGGTTCAGGGTTTAGAGTTCGGGCTTTTCGCACGGAGCCCAATACTCCTCAAGTACAAATATGTCTTAAGCTAAAGGTTATGTGTGTATATAAATTTATAGATGTGTGGTTCAATATATGTACCTGAATTGGGGTTATAAGTCGACCATCAATGTACCCAGGGATAGTCCGGCATTGGGGGGTGGGGGGTTGGCTTGGGGTTTGGGGATATGTAAGGTATATGTTTTGAGGCGTGGGGATACAGACGCCTAACATTCGCAATCAAGACAAGATGCCGAAGCGGCGGAGTCGACTGCCGCCATGGCTGGGTCAATCTACCAAGCCACCTAAAATCGAAGATACTCAATACCGAGGTCCTTTGTCATGGGACATCCGGCACAGCACAAGCAGAAAATCTCTAATGAATTGCCAATCCGTGCTCCTCAACTCGCCTGGATCATTCTGAAACAAAAACCGGTGGCTTGTTTGATTTTCGCAACTTTGACGACCCAAACACGTGTGATTCGAGTCAGGTTTCAACGATTCAACACGACTCGCCATGCTAACACGCAGCTCGTCCTGAACCTTGATAAACCTTCAAGCCGCCCACGCGCAATGCAGAAACACATCTCGAAGCAAAGGAAGCAAAGATCGAGGCAGGATCAATGAGAAGGTTACAGGGTTTCAGGCTGGGACCATGTTGCGGCTGAACGGCGCGAAGGGCTTAGGGCAACATCTAGATGCTTGAGTCAGCATATACCAGAGTCATCGGGTCATCGGCACCATCCCCACAACGCTCACTATGGCACTATGGGTACAAAATGTCCAGGTCCGAACGGATGATGCGCATGATCACCACCACATGGGTCGAGAGGGAAGACAACAAGTTGCAACAGCCCCAAAGGGTTCAAGTATCATTATGGTATATACTTAGACCCCCCAAAATACCCAACAAGTATATACCATAATGATACTTGGACCCTTTAGGAGCTTTGTCAAGGAGGGCTAGCAAGCTACAAAGATTTGTAAATGTTAGGTGAAGCACGTTGTTTGCAACCGAAAACGTCAAGATGGACGATTACCATACCACTACTTAATACTGTTTCGAATCTTATATTACCACTCATACAGATCCCGTTTAGCCTCAATCCTTAACAGTAGTGTATAGGGAATCCCAGCACTATTTGGCCTTAATCAGGTTTCCAACTTTATGGGTTTACTGTATAGGTAACTATGAACGCCCCTACATTAACCTTACTATTATAGGTAAGCATAATATGAATCCCCTTATAATTTAAGGTATATTCCTTAATCATAAAGGTATTGGGCTCTCTGGGACTATTAACGCCCCTACATAAACCGAAGTGCAGCCTGCTTTAAAACCGGGCGCTCTGATCTCTCGTCGGTGTTAGAGGAGGAAGTCTGCACGCTGATGACATAAGCAACTCATGCCCGCCAGATGCTCTTTTCGCGGTTTAGGGTTTGGGGTTTAGGAATCCCTGACAGACTGGATTGGGCCTCAGGGATGGAGGTTGAAAGTTAAAAGGTGCTAGCAGTACAAGGTCTATGATTAGAGTTCAGGCGTACTTGGACTTCAAGATTGTGGGCAGTTGCGGTAGGATTCAGAAGAACATTGAAGTGCAAGGTTTCTCGCTACAGATCGTGGTGCCTTGATCGGATTCGACAATGTGAGTTCTGCGATCCAAAAACCGTACATCCCGAACACGTTTAGGGCTTCGGGTTCGGGGCCTATAGGGCATAAGGCTTTCGGGCTTGAAAGGCTTCAGGCTTCAGGGTTATTTAGGGGCCACAAGACCCCTGGCATGAGCTGCAACATTGGCTCCTCTTGTCACCTCGGGTGCTATGTGTTGACACGGTCGGCAGCCTTTTGCTGAGCTAGCCTCTCCGACAATTCAGGGTTTCAGTGGTATGGCAGAATGACTGTGGGAACTGACTTAGCGGGAACAGGTTCTCTTCAGACTGCGCCGAAACAGGGCTTCACATTGTCAAGCGGCTTCGAGAACAGCTTTAAGGCATGGTACTGTACCACATGCAGCGTTGAAAATCTTCGTTGTGCAAAGAAAGGCATCTGCAGGGAACCCTAAACCCTAAACCCTATACTAAACCCTAGACCATCTGCAGGGTATTTGATACGAGTCGAGGCAGGAGCTCCTCGTGAGGTGCAGCGGTCACACGATGAACGACTGGCTCTGTAACCCAAAAGTAGGAGGATTCAAGGACCCAGGGTTTCTTAATCAGACTCCCATATTCTGAAATCTACCCAGATCAGTACGTCAAATCAAAAGGGTGCCGGCCAA